TAGTAGCTCCCTTGCTGTGCTGCATGCCTTATGTGGGGCACAGTTAGTGCTAGGTGCACCCTGGCGTCTAGACAAAATGTTAAAGGTTCTTGAGTGGCGAGTAAATTTTTGCTTTTGTGTTGTTATTCAAGTGTTTTAGCATAATGGGAAAATGTTATTAATCAAATGGCTAGAAGAAAGAAGTAAGCAGGTAGTATTAGTTACTGGTAAATGACTCTTTAAAACATTAAAATTGGATCTGGAGGTGTAGTTCATTGGTAGAGCACTTTCTTAGCATGCCTGAGGCCCTAGGATCAACCCTAGCACTAAAAATAACAATAATTAAGATATGTCTACTCTCTAATGCTGACAAGTGACCTGATAGACACTTGAAGGTTTAACTTGTCAGACCAAGCATCTTGACAGCTTCAAAAGAAGAAATCACTTTTCTGGCATGCCATCCATTATGCTTGGGTTCAGCTTTCATCCTGATTATGATTTCTAGCTCATGTCTTTGTTTTTTTGGTTTTGTTGTTAATTTTTAAAAATCTTAAGTCATTTCTGAAACATACTGCTGATAGTTATTTTAACAGTGATTCAGATTTAAACACTGGAGATTAAATTCTGAAAAAAAATTAACTCTTCTCCCACCTATACAGATGAAGCGTTTTTTGACTCTGAACAGGACCCTGAGAAATGCTGCTTGCTGTTACAGTTTATTTTGAACTGTTTGTATAAGATTTTCCTCTTTGATACCCAGCACTTTCTGAGTAAAGAGCGAGCAGAAGCCCTCATGATGCCTCTGGTGGATCAGGTAACTGGTGGGCCTGTCTCTGACTCTTCAGCCAAAGTAAGTTTTGTTTTTGCTGAAGGATAGCTGTGAGCCTTTTTTAAAATGGTGTTTTTGTTCTTCTGGCGTCATGTTTTCTTTTTTGGTGTGGGGATGTCCTTTTATATGACATTTTTACTTTAAAATTGATTTTTCATGGCTCTAACTTACGGAATTTTCCTTTGGAACTTTTCAAAAGAAAGATATGATATAAAGTATCATGGTTGATTCATTGATTTTGAAAGTAAATATTAGCTGTATTTTAACCAGGCTCCATCAGGCCTGTCTCAAGGCATGGCTCCCTCCTGGAGGAAAGAACCTGTCCGTGGTTCTGAAGGGACAGGGCTGGTGCTAAGAGTAGAGAGACTCTGAGTTGCAGAGAGTAAGAAATTTGCTCTGCAGAGATAGTATTACATTAGAGTAGGACCTAGGGTCTGAGCATGCTCATACTGTGAAGGACAGTAACACAATAGACAACTGGGTATACATTCAGACAGATGAAATGAAAGCTGTTGCTCACAGTTCTCGTCTCCCTTTTCCCAGCTGGAAAACAGGGTTGGAGGAGAAGAGGAGTTCCAGCAGCGGGTGACACAGCACCTGATACCCTGCATTGCACAGTTCTCAGTGGCCGTAGCAGACGACTCTATGTGGAAGCCACTAAACTACCAGATTCTGCTGAAGACCAGAGACTCCTCACCCAAGGTGGGAAGCTGCATGGTCCCCAGCTGCCTAAGTGACCTGCACATCGTTGTGGGCATAGGCTCCGGTACACACCTGTCTGCTAGTACAAGGGGTCTGGTCTATTCTGTTGGGTGAAATTCAAGCCTAAGAAATTTCTTACTTTTACCTTAGACTTTATAACTAATAAGCATACCCTCCTCGCCCCAGTCATGTGATAGGTACAAACACTGAGTTAACTTTCTAAATACTTGCAGATTTTGGGGGAGGGGTAACCGGGGATCGAATTCAAGACCTTGGGCTTGCCAGGCAGGTGCTTACGCTGCTGAGCTAAATCCTCACCCCCCATATTTTCAGATCTTGAATAGCAAAAATTTGAAATAATTCCTGGTATCATTGTGCTTCTTAGACAAATGCTTTGTCCACGGAACACTTCCTTGAGGTAGAGCAATGTATCAGATCCCCTCCTTTGTACATATTAACCTTCTGATTTTGTTAGTGATAGCTGTAAAAATACAACGACCTGGGTAGTTAGAGTGGAGCTCAAAATCCCACATCTGTATTTTCAAGTGATTTTAACAGTGAATTGCCATTTCTTAAAATAATCGCCATATTAGAATCTCAAGGGATATAATAAACTTACTCATAGAATTTGTTAGTTTGAATTTCTAACCTTTATTAATCAGGTACTAAAAACAGTGAGGCTGCACTGATAAACCCCCATATATTGTGTCACAGCTCTTTAAGTTGCGGGATCAGATTTCCCAATATGGGTGACCTGCTTCCTCACAGGACTGCAGTGCTAACTGCTGTTAGGGTAGGAGGGGGCAGTCCTGCCAAAGGTGGCCAACACTCTTGTGGCTACATTACCATTGTCTCCTGCAGCTGCACCCCACAGATGGGCAACTCCAGCACCATTAAATTTATTGACACGCTTGAGTTTGTGTGTGGCATTTTTAAATTTTTCTTAGGACTATGTCATAAAAAGATACTCACATTGAAGAACTACAGTGCAGGAACACAGTTTGAAAACCAGATTTATAAGGTTACCCATATTCCAAAGACACCAGATGGTTAAATAAACTGGTGGTCTAATGAAGTGAGATAAAAACATGTGAAATAACAATCTTAAAAGAGCTTGTCAAGTCAGATCTTAAGATAATACAACACTAACAATAAACTACTTTTTTATTCTTTACTGTTGTCCCTGGTAGGTGCGGTTTGCAGCCTTGATTACTGTGTTGGCAGTGGCTGAAAAACTAAAGGAGAACTACATCATCCTCCTCCCAGAATCCATTCCTTTCTTGGCAGAACTGATGGAAGGTAATGCCCCAACGTTACAGAGCAATTGGAGTATAGTTCTGTGGATATGTGTCTGGGTGACAGCTGTGGGTGACTGTCAGCTGGTCTAGTCCTGCCACCACCCAGACTTGAAAGTATGGGCAGGCTGGGGATACCACTCTCAATCCACAGGGAGGTTCTTTATAGTAGGTTTATCACTTTATTCCTGTGAGGTTTTGTGCTCAGATAGACCACAGTGCTTATTGTTAATCTCATACATTTATATATGATTGAATACTTTGGTCCCCAGATGTGGAGTTATTGTATCAGTGTCTATAGTGTCATGAAAGACACAGTGGGATATCCACAGTGCTGTCAGTGTTGGGTAATTTACATGGATGATCTCATTGAAGCCTCCAATTGGTAAACACCATCCTTTGTGTTTTACAAAGGAAGAATTAGAGGCTTAGAGTGTAAATGGTTTGATAATGGTAGCAAAGCCAGAAGGTGTGACAGGTAAATCTGATGGCTGGTATAACCACCCAGGCTTGTGCTGCACTGGGACCTGCACCTTGCTGCTCTTGTCAGCAAGCAGGAACAATAACAAGGAGACCAAGACTGATATTAATGCAGTATCCCAGACAGAACATTTCCTCCATTGGGTCTGACTGTGTCACTGAAGGCACATGTGCTTCTAAAGGAGCAGCAGCACCTGAATTTTGGGTTTGGATATGTCCACCTGGTCAAGGATCTATTGGTCTCTGCCAAGGCGATGCTGTGAGAGGGCTGAGAGGAGGAGAGGGAGGCACGTCCCCTGCCCTGCTCCCTGACTGAGGGACTCGCTGCCAGAGGACTTGGGACATTGAACCAGACCTCTGAGAACTGAGGCAAGGAGACTGCTGGCCCAGGTTTTGTTTTTTTCTTTTTCTTTTTAGATGAGTGTGAAGAGGTGGAACATCAGTGCCAAAAGACGATTCAACAGCTTGAGCTCATACTGGGGGAGCCACTCCAGGGCTACTTCTGAAACTTCTTTTGGAGGACCAAACTCTGTTGAGAGTTCAGATTTATTTTTCGTGCTTTTATTTTGGAGTGTTTGGTGCCATCTTACTTTTGGTGCCTTTACACTTGCTGGAACTATCTGAAGATATTTAATGACTGCTTTATATGAGATCCTTATAAACCTTTCCTACCATTTGTACAGAGTTGCTGAAGAATAAATGAGACATGGTGTCTGTCTTTATACAGACTGCTGTGTTTGCGAAGTACTTGTCCTTGTCTTTTCTGTATGATGTTACCAGTGGGCCAGATATGAATAACTAGAGCAGCCAAAGCTAACCACAAGTAGATTGGAGCTGTTTCATGCATGTGCATTTCATGCATGTGGTACTAGGTACTAGGCTCTCTCCACCTCAAGGAGATGGCAGCCATTCAGTGTCCACACGAATCTTCTGACTAAAGCCATTTGGTTTATACTTTTCATGCCAGAAACTCACCCATCAGTCTCAGTTTGTGTGTGTGTGCAGAAAGGGAGTGGTACTGGAATGTGTTGTTACTCAGGGCTGTGACTGTCTCCTTTATTCCGTAACCTTCTAGGAGTTAGAGGTTGGAAAGCAGCAGTATGGAAACAACCCATATCCACCTGGCTGATCACATATAGAAAAAGCTCGGAAATAATAGTTGGTCCCAGCAAATGAAAATGATATTTCCATTGGTCATTAACCCAGGGAAGGAGTCCTTATATGAGAAAGTAAATATCACTACATTATTAAGGTTTTGAAGTTCTCTAGTCTCTAGTGAAGCTTTAATTGAAGGCTCAAATAAAATTAAATCTGCCTTTGTTTTTAAGGCACTAAAGAACTGTCCCACGTGTTGTAGTTTAGATCCAAAATGTCCCCCCAGAGTCTCATGTGTTTGGAAGGTGATTGGATCACAGGGTTCAGTAGTCATCAGTGATTCATCCATTGCTGAGTTCCTAGCTGAGTGTGCTGTTAGGAGGTGGGTGTGAAGTCTAGGAGGTGGGGGTGAGGTGGCCTGGAAGGGCTGTTCCTTGTTCTGCCTCCTAGCTGCTGTGGGATGAGCAGCTTTTCCTCTGGGATGTCTTTCCGTCATGCTGTTCTGCTTTGTAACCAGCCAACTCTAGACTGAAATAACCAAAATAAACCTCACTTCCTTGTAAATTGTGTGTGTTTGGTATTTTGTCCCAGCAACAAGAAAGTGACTAAAACACTGCAGGTTGAGTTGCCTTTGATCTTTAATACAGAAATGTGGAGAATTATATAAGCAAAAAGCCAACTTGTGATTTTGAGATAAAGCTTGTTAGAAATACATGGTTCTACTTAAGGGTATTGATAAAGTTCATTAGTAAATTAGTAGCCTTTTAAAAAAACTTAAGATTGACTTTTTTCTATCAGAGTCTTAACAGCTCTATATAAAACAAAAGTGAAAATGAATTTTTAAAGACAACAGGAAACTGTGGGGGAGCGGGGGGCTTTTATTTTTTCCCCAAGTGCCTTTTGGTTTCCGATTATCTCAGTTGTACATTTGGCTGTTCTTTATGAAGGAGAAATAATCCTCAGGAATTCTAGAACCTTTATGCCTCCTACAGCTACCCCCACACACGTACACACACCATGTCCTCTTGAGTCTTGACACAGTAAGTTAACATGAAAGAATTAAGGGCTAGCAGCTTCTACAATGAGTACTTTTTTAAGAAACAAGATTAATTAATTACCATTAATTAATAATGGTATGCTTTTTAATACATGGATACAATAACCAATTCTGTAATGAAAATCTTCCTAAACAATGATAGAATTCTGCCCCAGCAGTTAATATGATAAAATGATCTGACCGATTTAGCTTATTTTCCACAGGCCTGAGCCTTTGAAATCTGCAACAAGATCTGACCTGTAAAGATGCTACATGAACTTCTGCCAATTCCCTTCAAATAATAGAAACATTACAGAAATGCAACAGTTTAACTTGCTCATACAGGTTTGATTTTAATCACTTAAAGCAGAACAATGTTTTGATCTCACTGCCACTGCTGGACTAATCTTCAGAAGAGCAGAGGTGAGTGCTGGTTTGCACGCAAACATTTTTACGCTGCCTCTGCTTTCTTTTATTGGTCTCTCGTCAGTAGATTTGCTTTCTCACAGTGCCTATTCACTACAAGTCATTTGACATCATGTCATTGCCCACATGTGTTTAACAGACGGAATTATCTAGCCTCTGCCTTAAGCTCACCGAGTATGCACACAGGCCTGCACCTCAAAACTTGTGGCAACAGAGATCAGCTGCTCAACAGCGTCAACACCATGGTTTTTTTTTATTTGCTTGGGGCTTGTTTTTTTGGTTGCTTGGTTGGTTAATTGGGTTTTTGTTTTCGGCCTTAACTTTTCTGCTATGCTCAGATGTCATTCATGATGATTATTTGGTAAAGCTTACAGCAAGGAGAGCTACATGCCTGTTATGCTACAGATGCATTGGCAGAGGAAAGTCAACGTCAGTCCTCCTGCAAGGGACATGACAAAATGCTCATTGTGAAAGGAGTCACTGGGGAAGTAGTATCTTCAGGAAATTATTATTTTATGTTAACAGCTGGGCCCTTAACCCAATGAACCCAAAAAGGCAGGTAGCGCACAGTGGCACAGCTCTGGAAAAGAGGGACACTGACTGCACCATCGTCTGTGCCTGCCTGCTGCCATCACAGTGCTGACAGAAAATAATGTGCTCAATGCCAGTTGGTGGCTGTGTTTCAGTAGGCACTTCATAAATACTTCTTGAGTGGTTTTGAAAAAGGCCATGTGGGGAGAAAGCAGTCGCTTCACAGCTGTAAAGTGGCTATGGCCTGGGATTTCCCTTTCAGGCCAGTAGGACAACAGCGGGACTTAATGCTACACAAGTGCCATTTAAATAAGGTGGTAACAGTGGGATGCATTTTGACACAGCCAGGATCGCAGCCATTCTATATTTGGGGTTACCAGTTCCTGACTTCCAGTAAGCGGATATCGCCGTTGATGGCCACCGTGTCAATGCTGCCCAGGTCCCGAAATCTGTGCTTGTACTCCAAACTGTGTGCGCCATTGACAGCAACTTTGAATTCTCTAGTATCACAATAAATTATCATCTGGAAGGAAAGGAAACAGGCCATTATGGTTTGCCTTAGTGTAAAATTTTTATTTGTTGCTCACTAAGAGGTCAAGAGGAAAAGCATTTGGTGTGAGTTCTGCCAGAGAAGTTGTTCCTGCCTTCTGCAGCCCACTTCCCTTCTATTGATTTGAAGGCCCGAATCAATGATCTTCTGTGATGGCACATTCTGCCTCGACCCACTCAAAGATTTGTTACATGCTTGGAACCCACACCAGCCCCAGGGCCTCCTGAGCCTCCTTTCCTTAGCACACCCCCTCTATACCCCACTGCTGAGAAAACAGGAAGCTGTCCACTTCATGATGTTTGGGAATTAGGGAAGGGCAAAAACTGCTGACACCTTGACCTTTATTCACTGAGAAGTTAATTTCAACTAGCAAATTAGGAACTAGTGGTTTGGGATCCTGACTGTTGCCTCAAACTCTAGGACCATAACTAATAGGGAATTTGAGAAGCTCAAGGGCCTGTCTCAGGATTGCACAGCTGCTGCATGTTCCTGCTTCCAACCTTGATGAGCACACTGTGGCCTTAGCTTGTTAAAAGCTCTTTGAAGCCGAAAAGCCTGTGCATCCATAGAGCAATTAGCATTTGCCAGACATCATTTGTGGCAGCCCTTCAGAGTGCTCCATCTAAAACAGCAAAATACAGTAGACCTCTGAAATTCATGGGGGTTACATTCCTAGTATTGTGAATTGTGAAAAATCATGAATGTCAGACATGGTCAGAAAAATGCCTATACATGCCTACTGTGCATAACTTTAGTTCCCAGAGAAAATCCAGTTATTCATCCTTTTCATGGATTGTCTTAACTTCTGGCAGTTGGGCTCATGCCAGAAGCATTCAAAGGACCAGCGTATTTTGGTGGATAGTACAGCTTTAAGAACCACAATACTTGAAACATCCAAGATAGCTACATGCAGTATAACATACTAAGATATGGAAAAGGCCAGGGATGCAGCTCAGCAGCACAGTTCCTGCCTGGCAAGCACAAGGTTGTGAGTTTGATTCCCAGTACCAAAAAAAAAAAAAAAAGTGTGGGAATGCTGGTGCATCTGCAGGCTACAGGGCAGCAGCCAATCAGCAACAAGAATAACTGCATAATGTTCTCCGACTGGCTACCTGCAAACCTCCTGCCAAAAAACAATTGTGGGGATACTGCAGTTTCCACAGAATTGTAGGGGTTTCCACAAACAAGTTCGAATGAAAAATTCACAAATGATGCTGCAAACTGCCATGACTGCAGAGGTATACTGTGTCCTTTCACATTGCCTTACATCTAACCCTTCCTCCCAACACCACACTGACCACTGATTCTACCCATAGCTCCTTGGTTCCTGAAGGCTTCAGAAAACAGCGGCACAACATGGCTGTTCACCTGCCCACAAGCTAAACTGAGGCACAAACTTTGAATGTAAAACCACAAACACAGTCTTCATCCTCCTCATAGTGGTCATGGAAATGACTACTAGGGGAAACAGTGGAGGTAACAGCTGAACAAAATGAAAGCCATAGGGCTACACAGAGAAACAGGATTGTATCTCCCAAGAGTCACCTTTTCAACTAGGTGGAAAGGACATTGGGTGATGGACATTCAATGAAAATCTCAAGAAAACACAAAACATAACCTCATGTTACATAGCTCAGAAGGAAAGCCACATCGGTTTCAGCTGGATACAGGGGGAAAGCCAACAACAATCCCTAACAAGTTACCTGTATCATATCAGAGCAAATGCAGAAACAACAAACAGCAAACAAGTGGGCAAAAGACAGTGAAACCAGGTAAACTTCTTCAGATGGAAACAAGTAGAGGACACAGAACATATACAGACGCTGGTCTGGGAGGGAGCAGACAGCAAGTCCCTTGCAAACACCTGATGTTCAGAACAGTTGGTAAAACATGAATTTTCAGGAGAGGGGCACACGCCTCTAATCCCTGCATGCTGGGAGGCTGAGGCAAAAAGATCACAAGTATGATCCCATGCCGTGCAACTTAGTGACACAGTGAGTCTCTGTCTCATTTTTGAAAAATAGAATCTTACCTCAAAGTACATCCCAGGACTGAATGGGAAGAAGGTTATATTTCTCTCTTCTTCTCCCCAGGCGTTATTAAGAAAAGAATTTCTTACAAATGCTTTAATATTCAGACGTGGGTTCAAGTGTAGAGCAATAGTCTTTGATTTTTCTGCTATTAGATCAATATTAAAGCTTTTGAAAGAGAAAAATAAGGAACCCAATTAACACAAGATAGTGGAAAATTTACAATTCTAATAGTAAGGGTTGAAGTATAGTCATATGAAACATGAATGCACACGGACATGGGATGCAGAGGAAGATGAAATTTTCAACTCTGCATTCCACCTACATTATCTGCAAACTGAAATTATTAAAAAGATATCAGTGTTGAGGATGAGAGCTGGCTGGGAGAAGCTGAGAAGACTTAGTGCTAGTAAGCCACGTGGTGCTGTGTCTGGGAGTCAGTGACCTCTTTATTCTCCTGTCATTTAACACATGTGTCCTGGCACAGGACCCTAGCCACCTTCACATCCCCTAAAACCATCATGAGTACAAGGCAGGAACAGGTATAGGTGGCAAGTACCAGCACTGTCACTGGTAACAGAGCAACACTGACCTTTTGGCCTTCATATTCACTTCTCCTTTAACGACAACAGTCCGTCCAGGGCCCATGGGAGAATTCAACCTTGCTTCGAAGGGCAGGGTCTGAAAAGAAGCTACCATCAGAGCCAAGAAGCTGGAGGAAGGGACTTCATGAGAAAACTGTCCAAAGAATACCAGGGCTGGCTGAGTGCTTGTGAACCCATGGAGGGGACAAACTACATCTGCTCTGGTCCCAGCTTGGGCCCTGAAGCAGCACTGCACCTGGCTCACACCACACACTCAGTGACAGCAGATACGGAGTGAGACTTGAGCCTACTGCGTGGGTGACACTCTGGCAAAGCTGCCAGTGTTTGGGGTCAGAGGCAGCACTCTGTGTCCTGTCTGAAGGAGCTGCTAGTGGTGAGGAAATACACACTTGTGGCTCAGTGTTATAAGCCTGGTTTTGACGTATCTGTCCAATGACAGCACACACGAGAGGCCACTTTGGGCTTCTCCTGGGGCATCGGGTTACATGTAACATAATAGCCAATTATAACTTAATTCTTATACAAAGTTAAGACAATTTTGTGCTCTTCAAACCTTTGACAAACAGTTGATAGGTAGCATTTTGGTGCAAATCCTACTGTGATTGACAGTCGAATCTCTGCTCTTGGTGTACGCAGATTGTGGTATGATTTTTAAAATGTCTCCTCTATTACTAGGCTGTAGGGAAACAGTTCTACAATAAGGCATGGAAAGAATGAAGCTGCCTTCCAGCATTAAACTTTACTTTCTAGGCAATTATAGAAAATGCTCCCAGTGGAATAAACAGGCAAAAATACTTACAAACTGTGAAATGCCAGACTTCAGTGCCTATGGGAAGAAACATAAAAATGAAATGTTTATAGGAAAGATTCACATTCAGTATCATGGGTGATCTGAACTGGTTGGTTATACAGTTTCTCCTGCAAAACTGTGGTTCAGTTTGCAGCCTCAGTTGTTCAGATATTTACTTAGAACCTAACTAATAATTGTTTGCAGAAACCTCTGCAATTTTGTGGAAACTGCAAATGTCCTCTGCAGCTTTTTTCTTTTTTTGTGTGTTTAGGGGCAGGGTAAGGTTTGCAAGTAGCAGGTTTGAGACCATTAGTTCTTGCTGCTAACAGGCTGCTGCCCTGTAACCCATCTCAGGCAGACACACCAGCTAGCCTGCATAGTAACAGGTTACTGTATCACTTGTAGCTATCTTGAGAGTTTTCAGTTTTATTCTTAAAGCCCTAAAATGCCACCAAAATGCCTTGTACCTTTATCTAAGGCTTTACTAATTCAGTATTTTATTAAGTTAAATTACATAATTGCAGGAGACAACATATTTAAGGTTTAAACTATAAAAATAGGCATTTATAGGCATTTTTCTGACCATATCTGAAATTCTTGGGTTTTGACAACTTGTAGGTGCTCTAGAAATATAACCCCCATGAATTTCAGGAATCCACTGAACTGAGCTGAGCCTGGCCAGGATCTGGGTGTGATACAGTGCTGTACAGATATACAAGGCTCCATGGGCCAGAACAGAGTCCAACAGTCCCATTCATCTGAGTCCTTTATCCTTCACCATCAAACAATTTTTCCTAGGGCTAAACATGAACTTTAAACATATCTTCTTCTTCCCAGAGTTCCCTAAAATACTGAGACTATATTCTACCTGCAGGGTGGGAGTGCGCGGAATAGGTTAAGAACTCACATTGTCCACTAAGAACAGCAAACATACAGTCTTTAAACAGCACTTTTCCCAGAGTGGGAGAAGATCCTTATACATTGGCTAATGTGTAATATTTACCAATACCTTATGCTAGAACATTCTACGGTCAGGAGTGAGGGATGCTTTGTACATGAGAATGGCTGCTGATGGTCACATAAACTGACAGGTTCAACATCAATGAAAACTAAGAGTGCCCAGGACTATCAGAAGTGTGCACCTTTCTTTACATGATTGCTGCCATCGTGGCCTTGTATTAAAAATACAATTTTTAAAAATTCAGCCATCCTCTCATCTGATGACAACTAAAAAGACTACTTTAAACCAGAGGTTCATTAAAGGATTTAATGCTTACATTTTCTCTATTCATATTTGTCAGTCCTAGAGTAGATGCTTGGGTACTTTGTAAATCCTGGAGAAAAGATAACACAGATTAATTTTAGCATCCATAAGGATATTTTTTTAAAACAACAACAAAAAAAACCTGTTTAAAATGTCAAAAAAGAGTTGGGCATGGTGACTCATGCCTGTAACCCCAGCACTCAGGAGGCTGAGGCAGGAGGATTGTTGTGAGTTCGAGACCAGCCTGGGCTACAAAGTGAGCTCAAGGCCAATCTGAACTGCATAGCAAGACTCTGTCTCAAAAAGACAAAAATAAAATAAAATGTCAAAAAATTATAAATAACACTAAATGTGAAAATTTACTTGAATATTATCCAAAAATGCACTTGACATAGGCTGCTCCTCCAAACTCCTAAGCATTAGGCAATAAGGTCTATTTTTAATAAGAATAGGGAATCATCTATAATCCCAGCACTTTCCAGGCAGAAGCAGGAGAACTGCTTTGAGTTTGAGGCCAGCCTAGGCTATATAGTGAATTCAAGGCCAGCCTGAACTACATAGCAAGACCTTGTGTCAAAAAACAAAACAAAACAAAAGGAACAGGGTGAGCAGATGGCCACAGCTGCTAAAAGTGCAGGTGGTATTCACCCTTTGGGGGACAAGTGAATAGTTTCCAACAAAACTGAAAATGTAAATACTCTGATCAGACAACCCACTTCTACGAAACTGACTTACAGGAAATACTCTGTTGTACTCTCATGCAAATTAAACACACCTTATTCAGCTAAAAAGGTGCTTGTTTTGCTAGGGCTATTCCTGGTTTTGAGATACTACACAGGAATGCCTTAGCAATGAACACCATGTGATCGTCTAAAAGAATCACTTCCAAGAAATTATACTTAAAGAGGCAGACAATATCTCAACGGATGTTAACTAAAGAAATTTTCTGACATTCCATCAGAAAATATAAGTCAGAAAAGACCCTGAGCTACATGAGGAAGAGCACTCACCGAGCTGAATCTAAAGCCAACCGAGTGAATATTCACATGGTCATAAATGCCCAGCGTGTCTATTTTCTCTAGCTTAATCCTGTGGGTATAGAGGAGAGTATGTTTTCCATTCACAGCAACCTGGAGAGACACAAAAGACAGGCCCCCCAAAACACTGTTAACAGATGAATTTATCCAAAATTAAATGCTTCTTTGGGTTTAATTTTATATCTTCCCCTATAGGAATCCAAGTACAGCTGACCAAATTGGCTGAAAGCAGGGCTCCCGTTCTTTTGAGTTCCGAATCTGGATCTGATTAAACTGTTGACCTGGATCATCTCCCCACAGACAGACATTAACACTGAGGAGTATAAACACACACACACATGCACATCTGTGTAGGCACCGGACTCCTGCAGGTGAGAGGTCCCCTGGGACCTCACAGGTCCCTGGAAGCCTGGGAACCCTGGTAAGATCTGCCTACCTGATCCCCACACTGTCCCTGAGATTCACGTTCTAACATTCCCTACTGATCTAAGATTTGGGTTTCCTATGTGTATGTAGGAACAATCTCAACTTCAACAGCTACAGCTGTGTGGAGACAATAAAAGTACCTTCTGTGAGACAGAAGCCACCCCTGCCTCTTCTCACTCCAAATGGCAGCAACCATGTCCAGAGCACATGCAAGAAACACAAGCAGCACCCAGGAAGGTCTCTAACTCAGGGATGCCCTCTGGATCCTACAGAACTATCCTTTGGCAAGACCTGATCTCACACTCCTCCTTGTCTATATGCTGGGGTTCCTATTTGTCCGGTCCTTCAAGATGTCTCACATTTTGGACAGTGTGGTAGTTATAATTCACTCCCATAATAATATCATTCTGTGTAAATTCAGAACTTAGCCACACAGGGAAAATATAATTGGAAGATATAGCCACAGTAGGGCCACAACAGGAGAGAAGGCAGCAGTGCCTGGAAGAGTCAGGCTGTCTCAGATACACATTCAGCATGGGAAGAGCCTCCCTGTGCACTAACCCCTAGTGAGGAGGCCCCATTCTTTTCCACAACCCACCTGGAATTTGTCCTTCAGCACCATGATCACAATTTCAAAAGATTTTTCTTTTTGGAAGGGCATGTCATAGGTGATCTCTTCCCATCCCCATCTTTCGTTTGTCAGTGTGTTGCAGACAATGTAGTTGGCCCGTTTGAAGCGGGGGTTGAAGTGAAAGGCCACATCAGCCCGGGGCTTCACACTACTGCCGCACTGCAAGTCCACCTGGAATCTGTGGGGGACAAAAGAGGGACTGAGTGAGCCCTAGAAAGCAAGTGGAGAAAAAGCCAAGCCAAAACCAGCCTTAAAGCTAAGTGACAAATGACTTGTCCCTTCACCTGCATGGCCTAAAATAGCTTTTCAGTTCATCTTTCTCTTCATAACAAAGCCCCTGGTCCAAACAGGTCCAGAATAAAAACCTTCTTCTCTCCACTCCCCTGAAGGCAGGGAGTCCCCACTTGGGGACAGAAGTGAAGTGCCTCAGAGGCAAGCAGGCACTTGCCCTGTATCCAAGCAATTCTGCCCCACGGCCATGAACAATGCCCAGCTACTCAAAACACAGATCGGGGCTGGAGTTCTAGTCACTGAGACCTGGAAAAAGGCCTCTTGCAGGGAGAAGAGCATGACAGCAAGGAGACAGCTTCTCTAGCCAACAGCAGGAGTTGACTACAAAAGCTGGGGTGTTTCCTTGAGACATTTCCTCATCCTGGTTAGCCCACAGATGCTTGGGTGTTGGCCCCATGGAGCTGGGCCCAATATTAACTGACACTGAGTCCAGAGCTGGAAGCAAGAAGAGGAAAGCCAATGGACAAGAATCTAAAGAGCTGCTGTGGAGATGTTAGACTCTCCTGAGGCTGCCTTCCTCACAGTTAATTCTGTATACTAAAATAGGATTTCCACAATGAAAAGAAAACCCCAGTGATCTCTAATCAGTCACTTGTTCCCACTTTCTCAGCACTGCTGAGAAAGCTGCTGATAAAAATTAATCAGGACTCAAAATATCAAAGTGGTCTCTCTCACATTACTTTCATTATTTATCCCACAAGCACAGAAAAACAGTCGACTTGGTTTCTTTCATCTAACACAGTGATTTTACCTCTCAGCATCACTAGGAACATGGCCTCGGATAACAATCAAGGATCCAGGCTCCAGCTGCTCAGAAATAGTGCCAACATAAGGGATTGTCTAAAGGAAAAAATGTTAACAAGTGTATGTTTACATAAATGAAATGATTCACCAAGCAATTAAGAAAGACGACACTTTTAAAAGCGGCGCACAAATTGCTCAGATTTAGAATTTTCCAAGGCATCTTTACTATTCAAACAGCAGTAAGGAACAACAGGGCTAAAGCATAATATCGGCAAACTGCTAAGTTCTCTGGAAGAAGATGCAAAACTGATAGTCATTTTTATTTGGCTATAGGCTTTGTGAAATAAAACTTTCATTTAATACAATAAGTAAGTCCCTGACTTATGAATGAGTTCTATTCTGGGAGGATGTTCCTAAGTTGGATTCATTTGTAAGTTTAACAAAGTGAGTCTTGTACACCTTTGACACAAACATACAATGCATATTGCTTTGCACTCCCTAGCATCCTCTCCACCTCACCATGCTTTTCCTCTCGCTTCCAGACATGCTGAGCTGTGACTGAGCACTGCACCTCTGTACACTATCACACTGTACAGTAAGACACAGCAGCACAACTGTGACAATGTCCAGCAGACATGTGAACTACTTCTGTGATGTTTGCATCTATGAATGCTCATAATGCAAGGTCTGTTCATTCTGCGAAACTTCAAAACCCAAATGTGTGTAAATCAAGGACTTACTATAATCTGATGAGGAAAAAAAGCTTGTTGAAGTATCAAGCCTCTTCCCACAATTAGTGTGGGAAAAGGGATGGAAATATGATATTTTGCTTGGCTGTTAAACAATCAGATTGTTTCTGGCAAATGCCTCTCAAGTGACGTGGGCAAAGGTATCTGACAGCACTGCCCATCACAACTCCCAGCTGAGAATTTAAGTTGGACTAATGTTAGTAAGAGGCCATGATGATGCAGAATTCACTTTAGCAAGAAGGTAATGGCTACACCAGGCCCAGAAGCAGGGCACTGGTGTTATTGTCAGTGCCAAATTACCACCCATATCTACCTAGTGGTGACAACAGATGTCTCTCCATGGGAGCGGTCTTCTGGCATGATTTTTTGCAGGGGGAGGGAAGGGGAAAGTTGTCTGTGGCTATGTAGTCTCTTAAGCATAGCTCTTCAGTCCTCTATAGTCTGAGAACTACCCAGTAGCAATTAACAAAGTCCCTTTCGGCTTAAATCTGCTTCTCTTTCTTGCAACTACTAACCCTAAACAATTCACATCTAAAAAATAAAGTAGTAAATAAAAATCAAATACATGCTTCAGGAAAATGTGATAAAGAATCTCAACTGAGTGGCCAAAGATGACCTAAGAAGTGAGTATGACATGTGTTGGGTATAATATGGTTGACATAGCAGGCATCAGCAATTTACAAAGGCAGAGAGGCAGGAAACAAGACCTACTGGGAAGAGGAGGAGCCTGGGAGCATTAAAAAAAGGTAGCACCAGGATCCCATTCTAGAATGAGAAATGAAGGTAGAGTTCACAAACACCACCCAGGGAGCCTGGGAGTCTGTTCTAGTGAGCCTGGCAGGAGGCCCTAAGGACACAAACAAGTTGCCGGGAGTGGACACTCACTGGGTTGGGCCAGAGAGGAGACAGACACAAGAGATATTTCAAAGTCTCCAAGATCCACTAAGTTGATAAGGCTAAGAAGGAAACAAGAGTTCAGAAGAAAGGTGATGACTTTAGTTTTAATCTCTTTTAGTGAAAAGGGTTCACAGGACCTTTAAGGGCAAGTCTGCTGAAAAGAATTAAGAGATTCAGGACCACACGGGGTGGATGCTCAGAACTCATATTCACAAGACTGAGTAGAAATGATTAGATACTGAAGTACATAAACTCGGAAGCTGGATGTGGTAGCACATACTTGTACTCCTAGCACTCTGGGAAGCTGAAAGAGGAAGATCTAGAGTTCAAATCCAAATTGGGGCAATGTAGTGAGACTTTGTCTCAAAATAAAATTTTCAAAAATAGGGATGGGGATGTAGCTCAGTGCAAAGGTGCTAGGTTCAGTCCCCACTACCAAGGCAGGAAGGAAGGAGCTGAGAGAAGGGAGTTGGAAAGCCTCCATGAATTTTTAATAATAGCAGGCATCTGTAAAGTAGTTACCATAAAGGGCTTGACTGCATCCCTTAAAAGACCTCCTTACAAGCCTGGTCCCTGAATGGTACTTGTTATGGTTGCATCTAGATGTCCCCCCAAAGCCTCAGGTGCTCACAGGTGGAGCTTTTCAGAGGTGGCTGAATCTAGAGTATGTAAATGTGAATTAAGGGTGTGTAAATGTGAGCTGAGGGTGTGATAATTGGATTAGCCATGTGTTGTTCAGGACATAGATGAGTATGAGTGGCACCAACCAATAGGAGTTAGCCTGGATAGAATACAAAGGCACCAAAAAAAGGCAGGCATGCTGCTGCTGCTTCCTGCCTGCTTTGCTGTGGACTATTTCTCTTCTGCCCTGGTCCTGTGCCATGCCACCCTGCGTTGGAACCACCTGCTTGAAACCTCTACAAACTGTGAGCTAAAATAAACCTTTTCTTGTTTAAAGTGCTGGATACTGTGTCCCAGCAATGAGAAAGGAATTGAGATAGTACCTAAACTTGAAATTTTAGAAGGCACCCACCTAAGCAATAAGGCTAGATACCTGTACCTAACTGCTGATGTAAACAATATGTTCTGATAAACATCTGCTTTTCTCTGGGAGTGTGGAACTGTGGTATGTGAAAGGGACAGAGTACCTATGAGACCAGCCCACAGTAAAAGCCCTGCGTACAAAGAGTATCGAAAGCTTCCTTAACAAGCATTTCACATGTGAGTCACCCTTGTTGCTGGGGGTGACTTTAAGACCTTAGAATACTACCCCGTGTCCTTGAACTTTGACCTCTGTGCGTTTTCTCTTTGCAGTTTTGCTGCATGACCTCCTACTGCAATAAATCATAGCCATGAGCAAAATTCTTTGTGGAAGTCACCAAAGCTGATTGTGGCCTTGGGGAGCTCAGCACAGGATGTGCAGAGAGACCTGTCAAACCAGGGCCTTACATCCTGGTTCTCTGCCAGGAGGGAGAAATGTTGACGAGCAGTTTATTAATCTGGAGAAACAACCCATCTGTCTAATCTCTAAGTAACTTCTTAGCCAGCTAGCACTTAATCACATCAGAACTCTATAAAGAACAGCGCTGGGGATTTAGCTTAACAGCATAAACACCTGCCAGGCAAGTGTGAGGTCATGAGTTAAATCCCCTGTCCCAAAAAAAGAAAACAACAACAACAAAAAAAGTGAAATATATGGGAAGATAATGAACTGCCAAAGAGTAGATTTAATTGACAGCTTCTCTGGTCTGAATTGTCTTCCAAATAATTCACTCTATCTGAATGCAGAAAGCTGAGCATTGTGGCCGACACCTGTAATCCCAGCACTCAAGGCTGAGGCAGGAAGAGCAAGTGAATTTGAGGCCAGCCAAGGCTACATAGTGAGTTTAAGGCCAGTCTCATCTATATCATAAGATTCATCTCAAAAAAAGAAAACAAATAAAAACAAAATAAAATTTGAATCCAGAGGGAAAAAAATACCCTTGATATTTTTAAGTTTTAGAGTCTATTGATGGAATTACACTAAATAAAAAAAATACATATGCCAGTTATAATATCTTCCCAAGAAAAGTTATTGTGGACAATTTGTCATAAACAGTTTGTCATAAGTATGGACCAAAAATTTAAAAACCTTAATGAAATGAAACCAAAAGACTGCAGTTGTGCCTTCATAATACCTAACAAATACCATGGTAGACATAGGATAAACACTTACTGTTTGAACTAGTAGCCAACAAAATAAAACCATGATGTAAAAAATAACCTTTTCTGGGCCTAGTTTATACAATACCTTAATTGAATAACTTAAAGTATCTAAGTTATTTGCCAGCCTTAATGACCAAGAGTCTTTCACAGGATTTACCATAAAAGCAGCTGCCCTACCTCAAACCTAAATGTAGCTTCATTTAACCAGACATTTCCAGATTCTAAGCAACACAAAAAACTACAACAAATTCTTACTGCCCAGCATAGTCACTCAAGCTTCTAGCAATTACAGTCATTCAGGGGTTCTTAGACCATCCAAGTCAGACAAGACCCTTACTTCTCATTTTCCAGCTCACCACTGGCTCTGGACATTTTCCCTACTCGGGTACTAAGAAGTATTTGAAATGTAGAGAGAAACCTGAAATGTTAAATTCTCATAGACAGTTCTAATTTAAAAAGTAAGACCTTGTAGAGTATGAAATTCATTTTCTTTTTGAAATGATGTTTTATAGTAGAATTTCCTCCCTACCTCTACCAAAAGCTGGCCTTCCAGGGCTGGGGATATAGCTCAGCGACATGTCTGCCTAGCAAACACAAGGTCATGAATTTGACTTCCAGTACAAAACAAAACAAAAAACTTGGTATTCCTTCCACGTACTTCCTTTATTTCTGTTTTAAGTCGGTTCTGATCACCTCAATATTGTCATTGTGACCTCGTCTTCCACTAGAGGACAAAAGCCACACTACTTTTCAGTCAGCATACACCACAGTCCTTATAGTATAGCAGGTAGTTTACACATGTTTATCAAATTTTATTCCTGCCCTGTCGCCCAGTAGATAATCACTATCAATTAGATTTGCTCTCAATCCAGTCATAGAGGAAGAATAATTTTATAGAAATCAGTTACCGGGTTATGGATGACATTTTGAAGGTCGTTTAAAGACAACATAATTTTTTTCCAATTTAATGTAGACTCTGTTGATTGGAATCTTTCTCCAATGATAAGATTTTAACTATGTTTCACATAAAAGTTATCCAGATTGAAACTGAGATACTTGTCCTGTGTAAAATCAAAATGAAAAGATAAGCATGCATTATTTTTCTTCATATTATAATTTTTATGTTCAAAGTATAAGTTATTTTACTGCTATTTGCCAAGTAATAGAATATAATTACAAAGATCTAACTCCCATTCTTACTAGAGTGTTCATTCATATAGTAAATAATTTTGGATTATGAGTGTAGAAAATATTGTAAAAATACATCAGTAGAAGATTTTTAGGACAGGATTCCTGAAAAATACTGAATACTAGGTTAGGGATATAGCTCAATAGTGAGTGCCTTCTTAGAATCCTCGGATCCTCGGTTCACACACAAAACCTAAAATAAAATGATGACAAATACAAATCAAACAGTCCTATACAGCTATCAGAAGTACTCATTTAATATTTCAAGAGTGTAAAATGAGACTAGTAACAATCTTCACATGATGGGTATGTTGGATTTATCCTAATGAACCAAAACAGCAGAACAGTGATTACCACGTGTTGGTTATAATTACTCATAGAAGGGATTACTCTTCCTCATCCAAATAAATCAAGACGGAGAAAACCCAATCCTTCGAATAATAATAAAATACCATTTTCTTTGGTGCTAGAAAGGGAAGGGAATTCATCAAACACATTTTAAAGGTAAAATTTCCCAGAACACTAAATAGCTTAGGGAAATTAAATAGCTTAGGGAAACTTGACTGTACCCAGAACTAAAAAGAGAAACGAAACTAGAGCTTCCTTTATTTTACTTCCGGCAATTCTCTCAAACTATGTGGCAATGTGCATTGACCAGATCTATTATTTTTTCTTTCTTGGTAGAAAAAAAAGCACCCTTCTTGGTTTACTACCTAAATATAACCCCAGTCTGTCCCACTAACTCACGTGTTAGTCAAAACCTCGACAATTTTCTTTCTTTCAGCTTGGTGAAATAAGAGCAAAAAGAACGGAAGACTGAGTTGCCATGGCCACATTCATAATTTATGTCACGACCAGACTGGTCCAGTTTAAACTCCGTAGAGTTCAATAATCCGTTCCCAAAGCACCTCAAACGGGTCCCGCTGTCACAGCACTTGTTTCCCAAGAACTCGTCATTTGAGGTTTAAGACGGTCAGGGGACTCTGTGGGCTTGCATTAGACACTCAGCGCTGCAGCCAAATGACTCAGCACCATACATTTAAGCGCTAAGAGTCCGGGAGAGCAACAGAAGTCATCAGAAATGCCTAGAAGAAATTGTCCCCTCTGTTAGGCAGTGTCGCTTGACCAGGGCCAGGGCAAGGAGGCAGAGCAGCCGGGAGATGGCGGGGGGGGGGGGGGGGACGCTAGTAGAGAGGTGACACCTCAGCCTTCCGCAGGCCAGGGCTGTCCAAGAAGGTCAGGACCCCTGACGACCCTCATTTTCCAGGCGCGACTCCGACAGTCGCCGCTTTTCCGCCGCACCGGATGCCTGAATCCCTAGTCCCATTCACCAAACTGATTTAGGGTAGCAACATCATCCCTCTTCGGCCTGCCCGACCACCACGGCAGTCACGCTTCTTGCCACTGCCACCACTGAGGCCAGCGTCACCCGACTTACCCGAGACTGAGCTTGCTGGAGCTGTTTGTCCGCGGAGGGCTGCCGTCCGGCCTCGGGTCCCGCGTCCTGGGCGTCTACGGGAAGTAAAGGGAGTCAATCCCCTCCTATTTCCGATCTCGCGCTCCTTGGATCTGCAGTTGGCTTGGTCAGAACGTCTTAGTGGTTTTTCGTGTGCTGTTATTTGCTGATCGCCACCCGACTTAGCTTCCTGCACAGCCTCTAGGGACTGCGACGGCGACAGGTTTCCTGTGGGGTGAACAGAGAGGGGGCATAAAAAGAGTGTGTATTTAAAAAGGTCCCGGGCACACCTGGCGGCCTCGTCCCAGTGGCAGAGGCGGGAGGGAATGAATGGAAGGAAGGAAGGTGGAGTCTGTGCTTCAGCAGGCGCTTTTCGCCTGCTCGCCGGTCGTTCCGGGCCTCTGGACTCTGGGAGGGACGATTGGGACTGGGACCGCCGCCAGGACCCAGCGGCGACCAGGTTTTTCATTGTTTGCGTCCTGGGCTGCTTCAGTCAGAGGCCACGGGGCGCCGCTCCAGACGACACCACCTTGTGCGGCTTCTCTTCACCAGTACTCACCTGGTCTGTAGGGGAAACGAGTTCAGTACAGCGAGAGTCTGCCAAGCCCAAGACCCCGGTCCAGTTACTAATAACCAGGACAGGCAGCCACTGAATGACTCAGTTGCCAGTTTTTGGAGTTTTCTAAATTGGATATTGCCATTGGAAACAAATTACACGGAGCCCAATTTTGAACATATTAGGTGCTCAGTTCCCAGCTACTCAGTCAGGGACTCCACATTGGCTGATAGTTTGACCCATCTGCTGTGAAAACAAAAGAGAGAAATACCAATAAAGAGAAATATAAATGAGCTACTCTGAATGACCGGTTGTGCTGTGTACTGTTTATTTCGTATGAGAGACCTCAAGAGTTACTATTTGCTTTACATTTATATCCAAGTTTGTTTTGAAAGTCCTGTTTTGGTGTCAACACTTGGGCTTTCTCCTTGGCTTTTGTTTATATTTTTAATTGAAGAATAATAGCATACTCATATTTTTATTCCCTGTAATATTTTCACCTCCACATCTGGGTTCATTTTTTAAATTTGATTCATTTTTCAAGATCCAGTTGAATAGCTGAATTTAATGCTTGACATACCCTGCCTTGGACTGTGTTTCATCTATTCCACTGGATTGTGAGTTGAGGATAGGAACCTGTCTTACCCATTTTTTGAGCCTACTGGAATGTTTTGCACGAAATACACCTAAATGTTAGGTTGGTATGTTAGGTTATTGACAAAGAGAAGAAAAATTGAATGTCTTAATGATTTTGCCTGGTTCTACATAGGTCTTATTTTACAAGGTCAAAATAAGTTGACTAAATACATCTCAGTGCATTCCAAGCTGAAGAGACAGCTAATGCAGTGTTCCTAAGGCTCTTGGAAATAAAGAGTATATTTAGGAAACTAAGGCTATCAACATAGCAGATGAAGGAAAAATGTTATGGGAATATATAAGGTCTCGTAAGATAGATGGAACAGAAGAGCTACTTTAAAACAGAGCCCTAGGCAGATAAAAGGGCCAGAAAAGGAAGAAAGAAAAAGAAAAAGCAACAGTAAAAGAGACTAGGAAGGTGCAGCCATGGCAACCTGTTGAGAGTGATGTCACAAAAGCCAAGAAAAGCAACAGCCAAGATTCAGCAACATGGAGGTCATTGGTGCTAACTGAAGGTAATGGGAAAATGTAAGGCAAAGAAGTGGTAGAAATAATGACCATAAATACTTAACAATTTTTTCTGTAAAAAGGCAGTTAGCATCGTAGCGGAGGAAGCTGTGGGGTAAAGGGAAGATTTCAGTGTTCTTGTTTTTGTTTGAAAGACAAATATTGATCACTTTTAATCTTTAAAAAGTGAGCTACAGTGCTCGCTTCGGCAGCACATATACTAAAATTGGAATGATACAGAGAAGATTAGCATGGCCCCTGCACAAGGATGACATGCAAATTCGTGAAGCGTTCCATATTTTTAGCAGAAAAAAAAGTGAGCTACATAAGAACATCCACATTTTTGATTTGTTAGATATTTTAAATTATAGGAACAAAAATTTCACAAAACAGTATTCTTTTTTTTGTTCAAAAAGTATTTTTATGTGCAAAACAATCTACTTTTCATTTAAGAAAAATGCTGTTCATAATCCCCAAATGTTTGCAAGACACACCAATCATCTTTTACATATTGATACCTTTAAATTAGCTGCTACGCATTAGAATTTTTTTCCCCTTTTGAAAAGTGAATTTTAATATTTACCAGCACACTGCTGACTAGACTCATATGGGTAACCTGCAAAGAGGAGAAATAATGAGCACAGGCAAAAGGATCATTGTGGCGCTGGGGGTTTAGCTCAGTGGCATAAGCACCTGCCTTACAAGTGCACAGTCATGAGTTTGATCCCTAGTACCAAAAAAAAAAAAAGTTGTTGCAAGTTCAAGACCAGCCTGGGCCACAAATAAGCTCAAGACTTGGTCTCAAAAAGACAAAAAAAATAAAAAATAAAAAAAAAAATGGGCACAGAGGTAATTTTTGAAATGGCTTTTCCCAGAAAACAGGAATAAAAGTTACAGGTATTAGTTCAGAACAACAGCATGCTATTACTAATGATATGCCAAATGATTGTTTTAACATTCCAAAGATAAAAGGAATACTTCTAGTTGATTTTTTGGTTTTCTTTTTTTTTTTTTTTTTTTTGAGACAGGGTCTCTATTCTATGCTGGCCTTGAATTCAACATGTAGCCCAGGCTGGCCTTGAACTTGCATTGATCCTCTTGCCTTAACCCCCCAACTGCTAGGATTAAAAGTATGCCCCACCCTGTCCACCTGGCATCACTTCTAGTTGTGTCTTCTTAGTTTTCATCTATATCATTCTCTTTCAATACCTAAGAAGCCACAATTATAATTTATCTCAAAAATCTTTATATCACAAACCATGGTGTGCTTGTGACATAGATAACCCCAGAACTCTGGGAGGCTGAGGTAGGAAGATTGCAAATTCAAACCCAACCTAAACAAGTTAGTGACTTAATAAGACACTGTCTCTAAATACACAAAAGTGCTGGCAATATAGTTCAGTGAGATGGACATGGGAATCCCCAGTACTAGAAAAAAATTAATATAAAAAATACAGAAATAGTGTGACTGGAAAATATCTTGCAAGCAAAATATGAAATAATATGTACTGAATAAATTTTTTAAAAAACTAAGGGGGAAAGTCACACAGTTTTAGACTCACAAATTGTAAAGTATATGTACTCTTATTACCTGGCAAGTTTAACTGACACCTGCCTTTTTTTGTCGTTGATGTTAATCATATTGTCTCCCCCCTCCCCCATCGGTACCAGGGATCGAACTCACGACTGCCTGCTTGCAGTGCAGGTGCTTATGCCGCTGAGCTAAATCCCCAGCCCCCTGTTAATCATATTGTTTCAGAGGAAGATATACTATGGCAATGATTTTGCTTATTGCTGTGCTATTTTTTTCTTATTATAATTTTCTTTAAAATTTTGACCCTCCAGCCATTTAAGTTATTGTGCCAGAACTGGGAAAATATGCCCCAAGTTGTTAATTTTGGAATATGATTAGATTTAGTAAAATGCTATGAAGAATTTTAAACAGCTGCCTTGATATTTCATGCCATGAATTTAGAAGCCAGAACTCTTAGTCTCTATAGTCTGAGACCATAATGGTAAAAGGCTTTTTTTTTTTTTTTGTCTTTTGAGACTGGATCTCCCTATGCAGTTTAAGCTGGTCTTGAGCTCAATTTGTAGCCCAGGCTGGTCTCAAACTTGCAACAATCCTCCTACCTCAGTCTCCTGAGTGTTGGGATTATAGAGATGCGTTCATCAGGCCTGGTACCAAAAGGCCATTTTAAAACAAAACATTGATCACAGTAATTACAGATTTAGGAGCTCTGAGAATACAAACATACATTTTACTTATTCCTATCAGAAAAATAATCTCAAATTATATATAGATCGTAAATAATATATACTATCTAGGAATACATATTTTACCAAGCCACAACACTCATACTGCTAGTAGGGTGGTTTACTTCCTTGGAAAATTTCAAGGCTGGTGTTGCCTGACTGCTGATTTTCCTCCCATTTCCTCCTTGAATGCTTTCACTTTGACCCAACCTCTCTCACACTCCAAGAGCACCGAACCTCCTTTTCTCCATCCTGGTCACTGTTCAGATTTACCAGGCTTACCTCTTATGTTCTGCTAGTGTGAGAAACTTCTAGAACATGGCTTTGTCATAAAATAAAAAGAATCTTGGTAATGAGAGAGATGTTAAAAGTTATATAGATTATTTCAACTCTGTAGTTCAAATTATGAGATCCTGTCCCGTTTTTAACCACTGAAAGGCTTTCAGACTAGTAACTGTTATTACTCACTGTAATCCTTGCTCCCGTAGATTATTCTGAAATGCACTGAAAATCTCCCCATAGCAAGCCTGTCTCAATATTTCACCAACCTTTCTTACATGGAGCTAATCCATATCCAACTTGTATTTATACAGCTCTTTATAAAATAACTTACAAGTGGAACTCAACAGCTTCCCTGTGACAGGTTGGAGCAAGCAAGACATTGAGAAATAGAAAAAGTGTTGAGTCCAAAAACTTAATAAAACAAAAAAAGTATGTGTGGTGTGAACTCCTCTGCTTTTCTTTTCCAGTTCTGACAATCAACGTAGCCAGTCTTGTTTGATGCCTACCTCACTCACTTCCTGCCCATCACTGGCTCATTTTGAAGCCTATCTCTGGCTTCATTTAATCTGTAAAAACTTCGAAGCTGTTTGTTACACTTAAAGGCTTAATAAGACTTCAGGTTCAGCTTTTGGCCCTAAGATTTCACAGATGATGATACTTCCAATTGCAGCTCATCAGAAGGTAGAGAAGTCTGGTGGCTTTTTTTTTTTTTAAATAACTTTGAAACTGACAGGTGGTTTCTTATGTTTGCCTCATCCATTACAAATTTCCCAAATTTGATCAGATGATCTAGTGTCTAGCTAATGATAGCCATCACCATTCTAGATTGTTTCATTGGGATATTAAAAATGATAATATATCAATTCTATCATTTCTTCTTACACTTACTAGTAGGAATTCTATAAGGAAATACTGCTACCTTCATCGACTCTTTGGTCTTCCAGATGTGTATGAATGAAGCTTATACCAGAGAGGCAAGACAAAAGGGTTTTTTCCCTTTACTTAGGGATTTTCAGAATAGTTAGTTTCCCTAGCCTCTGCCAAATTTAACAGTTAACTTTTCATTATCATAAGAAATACTTGAGCTAAATCAATTTAAAAAGAGGGTTAATGTGGCTCACACTTTTGGAAGTTTCAGTCTAGATAGAGGTCTAAGCAAATCCTGACCCTGCTTTCCCTTATGAGGAGATCCAGGCCATTCTGGTAGGAAAAAGATGCTGGGAGAGGGGCAGGAGTGGAAAACCTTTAACCAGAGACGACAGGGGCACCAAAGCCAAAACCAAAGGCAGGATCGGGATCAGGAGCCAGGTGGAGAACCAAACTCAAGGATTCAAGAAGGAGCCCAGGGGATTTTAAATAGGAGCCAGGAGGAGGCTTGGCAGCTTCCACTTGAGAACAGAAATGCAAGAAAGTTCTAGCAGATTGGGAGGGCTCTGAAATAGTAATTACCCAGAGCAGCGCCTGCTTTTCTGTTTTTGTTTCCTGGCTGGTTGGAACACACTAAAGTCTCAGGGTTGGACACTGCTGACGTCATGCACAAGGACAGCCAGCTGCAGAAGGGAATGGTAGCTGACGCTCAGTCTGCTGTGAGTGCCAAACTGGCTG